CAAAAATTTTACCAGAGTCTTGTATTTCATTTGAGGATCTTGTCTCTCTCAGTCTTTCCCATTTCAGTAAATAGAACCACTAAGCTTGGGGCAGTGGTATATACCTGTAATACTAGCTACTCAGTAGGCCGAGGCAGGAAGATTGCAAGTTTCAGGCCAGCTTGGGTAATTTAGTGAGACCCTGCTCAAAATAAAATTTTAAAAGGATATGGGGATGTGGCTGAGTGGTAGAGTGTTTGCCTAGCTTATATGAGAGGCCATAGGTTCAACTCCCAGTACTCAAAAAAAAAAAAAAAAAAGAACCATTAACATATAGCTATTCAAGTTAGAACCTGGAGCCCAAACTTGATACCTCTTCCTTTATGTCATTTATTCATCTCTTTCATCTCCACCAAGTTGGCAGATCTTGAGAGAGCCCAGAGCTCACTTCAATGAGAACATGAGCCAAGGGAGTATTTATAGGCAGGATATTCCTTGCAACATTAATTTGTGTGCTGTAAGTGAATATGTTCAGTATAAAATTGACTTAAATGTTTTCAAAGAAATGTTAATCATAGGGCTGGGGTTGTAGCTCAGTGTAGAGCATGTGTGAGGTCCTGGGTTCTATCCTCAGCACCACATAAAAATAACTAAAATAAAGGTATTGGGTCCATCTACAACTAAAAAAAATTAAAAAACAAAGAAATGTAAATCATTGCCATTAAGTCATCAAAACATCAATAGAATATCTTGGTGGAAGCAGTACAACTTCCTTCTGTACTCTTCAAGGTGAAGTTAATGTTAAAAGTACAAGAAAGAACTGGATCCCTGTGTTTATAATCCCAGCTACTGTGGAGGCTGAGGCAGGGAGATCACTTGAGGCCGGGAGTTAGAGGCCAGCCTGAGCAACATAGTGAGACCCCCATCTGCCACCCCACTCCCCTCAAAAATACATAAACTGAAGGAAATATAAAAATAGTTAAAAGTTGGGAGACATGTACCAAAAATGGTAGTTGTTTTAGAATACAAGATTCAAGTCTCTTGTTAAAATGTAAGGGTCTGGCGAAGCATCGGAGAAAGAGACCACTCATGCAATTAGCAGAAGGGGATTTATTGAACCAGCATGCTGGGGCTCCGTGCCCACTCAAGAAAGGAAAGCAGCCCAGAGCCCCGGGCAGGGGTTGAGCAGTGCTTAAGTGCACTTTTTTTAGGAGGGCGGAAGCTTTGCATACATCAGGACAAATCATCACAAGGCGCGGGAAAATCAAACAACAACTTTTAGACATGATTAGTACATTCATTGGCGGGAACAGGCTGGGCAGGGGTGATTGGTCACTTCTAAGCGGGGTACACATTCAAACTGATTGGTTTTGGGGCCTGGATGCCTACATGCCGGGCTACTCAGAGCCCTTAGTTATTAAACAGCCAGAGGATCAGGAGGAATATTTACTGGGCAGTTCGGGTATTGTCCTAACAGAGGAATTTAACAATACCTGGTCCTTCACTTTTTAACTCAGGCCCTGCAGCTTGGAAACTTTACAATGCCCGGTCGTTTACACTTTAACTTTAATTTCTTTTACTCTTACAAAAACCCTTGGGGCAAGATGTGTTTTGGAATTTATATTTCTTTTTCTCTTAAGAATAAGGTGTATAAACCATATGTTATATAATACTTTGTGTAGGATCTATAATATTATTACATTATTATCATGTTAATATTTATGCAGCAAGATAGAGAGATATAAAGGCTAGACTACCTCACATTTGTTCAGGTCAGATTTTGCTGTCAGAGGGTTCAGGTCAGATTAGATTATTTCACCAAAAGAATTATGGAAAAAAATCTAGTTTTAAAAGCTTTTAGATTTTGGATTTCTGGCTAAGGTATTGTGGAACTGTAGGTGATTTGTAGCTCTTCTTTCTTCAATAATTAGCACATCTAACCAGATTAATTTTTAGGGCACTCCCAGATTATGGTATTAAATGATATCCTCAGCACATACCAGCTTCTTTTTCTGTTATATGTAGCAGGAGGATGTGTATCCAGTGGAATCCAAAAATGGAGTTAGATCATTAAGAACTATTTGCTCTTATTTTTAAAGAGCATCTGAGAGTTTCATTACTTTACATTTTACTGTGGAAGAGATAGTAATTTAAAGTATTGGGTGATATACTTTAAAGTGGATCAAGCTTTGTTCTTTGGCTCATAGAACTTAATAGCTACAAGGAATGCTAGAGTCTAGTTTACTTACTTTTTGGAGATACCATTGATCTATGGAGAGGCAAAAAGGCAAGAGAAGCCCATGTATTTTGACTCCAAGTAAGTGATGCTTATATAGCATCACACAGCTTCTTTATGAGAGCTGCTTAATCTAAAACAGGTCTATGGAAGAAAGTTATTATTAATAGAAGAAAAGCAGTAGTACAGAGATCTTTCCCCTCAAAGAATGTAGGGTAAGGACCTTAAAGTTTAGAGGAAGCCCCATGATTAAACAATTTTATAAAACTTTACAAAATACAGCAATGAAAGCAATTAAGGAAGCTTAAGTGCTATTAAAAATCTTATAGATATTTTGGAGAGGAAATCCTAAAAATACTASAAAAAGAAAGATTTAGTTTTACTTCCCTTTTCTGTATGAATGCATAATTGAGAAAGAATGTCTTGATAAATTTACACATGTGAGTAAAACTTTATAACAAGCTTTTCATATTTAACTGTGATATTCCAATATTATTTCTTTCTTTTTTYCCCCCAGTACTGAGGATTGAACCCAGGGACTGAACCCAGTGACGCTCTATCACTGAGCTTCATCCCTAGTCCTTTTTTGTTTTGAGACAGGGTGACCCTAAGTTGTCCAGGCTGGCCTTGAACTTGCCATCCTTCTGCCTTAACCTATCAAATGGAATTACAGGAGTGTACCATGGTGCTGGCACATCTGTACCCAGCTTCCCTCTTCCACTTTAAAGAACTCTTGTGATTACCTTGGGTCCACCTGGATGACCAGAATAATCTCCCTTTCTTAAGGTCAGCTGATTAGTCCCATGAGTCCCAGAGCCTGGACATCTTTGGGGACCGTTATTCTGTCTACCCTATACAATAAGTAAAACACAACAACAAAAACTTTGCAAAGCAGTTTATGGAATTTTAATTCAATTTGGGTTTAGGGAAACAGGGGGGTGGTGATAAATAAAGATGTAATTGTTTTTTTAAGAAAACTCTTGACTATGTGCAGTGGCGCTCACCTGTAATCCCAGCAGTTTGGGAGGCTCAGACTGGAGGATCACAAGTTCAATGCTAGTCTAAGCAACTCAGTGAGACTCTGTCTCAAAATAAAAAATAAAAAGGGTTAGGGATATAGCTTAGCATAAAATTACCCCTGGGTTAAAATTCCTAGTAAGCATCTCCCAAAATAATAAAAACAAAAAGAAAAGAAAAACTATTCAAAACTCTGACACTAAGAATAAATATTGATGATTTTATTCACTTTACCAAAAGGTTCTCAATATTCTTGAGGTATTTTCCATGCAGCGAATCTATTGTGAGAAGTATGATGTGCTTATGTACTTCCGCATCCTCCCAGAGGAGTTTTCTGGCTTCCGTAGGGTACTGCTGGAATTTAGCCAAAGGTATAGAACTGCTTGATCTGCAACAGATAAGCACAGATTAGATCTGGCTTCAAAATTTCACGAAATGTAAATTTTATTAAAGCTAGTTACTTATGCAAAAAATGCAGTAGCACTTAAGGCTTGTATTTTTCAAATCAATAACATTTATTAAATTTATTCTGATTTACTTCCTGTTTACACAGTACCCTTCATCCAACTTTGAATGATTCAAAATCTTTCTAAAATAAGCAGTAGGTAGAAAGTAATTTCCTTAAATATACAGATGGAAAACAGTAAGAACTCACAGGCAACCTGGAGTAAACAGATGGACCTTAGATTACCCCTGCCAGTATGGGCTGTTTCCAGTGCACTGTGAGCCATATCCTTTTCCAGAAAAAAAATCACAAATTTGTGTACAGTATTTTTGTGGTCCACATATAAAAAGGCTTCATTGCTGTTATTTTCATGAGCTTTGGTAACCTTAAAAATGTAAATATCTGAATTGAAATGCTTTCAGCATTTCTTCTGCTTCTTTATTTTTCAATGTCTTAATATTTATTCAACATTTAGTTTCTAAACAGGTGGGTCATGATATTTGTACAGTGATTTAAAAAAATTTTTTTAGATGTTGATAGACCTTTATTTTGTTCATTTATTTATATTCGGTGCTGAGAATTGAACCCAGTGCCTCACACATGCTAGGCAAGTGCTCTACCACCCAGCCACAACCCCAGYCCCTGTACAGTGATTTTGATGTGGCTCTTTCCCACTGAATGGTGGATTTTAAAACAACTATTGTAAAATTCAAGCAATTTCTAGCCCTCTAGATGAGGCATGTTATTAGTTTTGAATTGAGGTTGATTTGGGGAAAATACTGCTAGTTCCAATAAATGAAAAAACTTCCTTTTTTAATAATGTAACTTTTTGTTCATTACTGAAATACATAAAATTATTTGAATCTAATACATTACTGAGGTGATTTTAGCAAATCTTCCTCAGTTGATATTTAAGTCTTCATATTTTCCAGAAACATTTTAAAAGTAACCTTAATATGTATGTGATTTTTGAACTTAACACATTGATTTTTGGATTAAACCACCTTCTTCATAATACAAAACAAACAAAAAATCAGTTGTCTGGAACAGTACAATTTAACTGTAGTAGTCTTTTCTTCCTTGACATTACATTTGGCAGGTCAACAGGCATTTTTATAAGCTTGGTGGGCAGGCTCAGTCTAGATATTTGACTTTGGCAGGCAGGATGTGAAATAGTTTAAATAGTTTTGCTGTGTATTTATTGCCCAGTGAATGTACACTTGTTAGTGGGCAGCCCTCCCCCCCTCCGTTTTCAAGTCTGAGGAATAAAATAGCAAAGTATTCTTAACTCTCTTTGTGTTTACCCTGTTTTTTCCCATTTAGGTCTTCATATACTCTTTCTGAAGAGGGAATGGTTTGGTGATGGAGTGCTCCCATTGACCGATGGACTCAAAGAAGAGAAGGTAAAATCAATTCTTCCTTCTCTTCTATTGTTCTAGGAAAACAATAAACAATTCTATGCCGGTAGCTTTTCTTCAGTTTAATTTTTTTGGTTGTTGATGGTTGTTAAGTGGGAATAGTTAGTGACATTTGTAGTTGATTGGTAAAGAGAGAATAATATTAAAATTTGACTAGTAATAAGCTTTGTTGCTAGTTTCTTATGCTTGTAAAGACAACTAAATAGCTTTACTTCATCATTTTAAAGCTCTTATAGCCATTTTTTTCTTACAAATAATTTCAAGTTTTCAGAGGTTTTACTAAGTTTAATCAGACTATCCTTAGAAAACTAATCATGGAAGATATTTAGAAAGAAGGTTAAATTTGTGGCTTTTCTTCCAAAGAACCATGGTTCACACAATAATAATTTAAGGGAGTATTGTTTAGCAAAAGTAGAGAAATTCTAGGTATTCAAAAAAATTGTTCCACATATCAACTAAATTTACCCCACTAAAATTTTTAGCACCTGTGTTCTAGTAAAAAGGAAAAGGGGGAAAATTATCATTGTGGCATGTAGGAAAACTTTGTAAAGGAAAACAGAATAGCTTAATATACACTTTTCCTAGAAGGGGTGGCTGTTAGATTATAGTCATTATTTTTCAGCTGTGAGTTTTGTATTATTTGAAATAAAATCATCAAATCAGATAGAATTCTTAGGCTGGAAAATGAATAAAGCCTGAAGAATTTTACTGGCATCTGTTGTAAATTTTTCTTAAATCTAAATAATGGAAAATAGTATAGAGAGTCTTGAAAAACTAGAAAAAGAACTACCATATGACCCAGAAATTCCACTACTGGGCGAATATTTCCAAAGGAAAGAAAACAAGAATATTGAAGAGATGTCTGTAACCCTGTGATTATTGCAGCTCTGTTCACAATAGCCAAGATATGGAATCRGCCTACATGCCTGTTAACGGATGAATGGATAAAGAAAATGTGGTATATATATGCACAACAGAATATATTCAGCCATGACTGGGCACTGTGGGCATTCCTATAATCCTAGCTCCTGGGAAGGCTGAGGCAGGAGGATCACAAGTTTGGGGCTAAGCTGGGCAACGTATCAAGACCCCATCTCAAAATAAAACATTAWAAAGGGCTGGGCATGTAGCTCAGTGGTAAAATGGCCCTTGGTTCAATGTTCAATCCCTAGTACTGAAAAAAAAATAAAAAAGAAAAATGGAAAAAAAATTCAGCCATGGAAATTTGAAATTTTATCATTTTCAGCAATATGGAGAGAACTGGAGAACATTATGTTAAGTGAAATAAATCGGGCACAGAAAAGTAAATACCACAGGTTTTTACTTAACATGCTGAAACTGAAAAGTTGATTTCAAAGAAGTAGAGAATAGAATAGTATTGCCAGAGGTTGGAAAGGATTGGGGGGTATGTGGAGATGGAGAGAGGGTGGTTAATGGGGATAGTATATCTCTGTAGGGAAATATGAGTGACAACAATTAATTGCATACTTCAAAATTTCTAGTAGAGAGAATTTTGAATGTTTCCAACATAAAGAAATGRTAAATATGCCATTTACCCTGATCTGATTATCTGATCATTACACATTGTAGACTCGTATTGAAATAGTCACACTGCACCCCATAAATATATACAATTATGTATCAATTACAAATCAAAACATTATTTTTGATACCARGGATTGAAAAACAGGGGCATTTAACCACTGAGCAACATCCCCATCCCTTTTTTATTTTTTATTTTGAGACAGGGTCTCACTAAGTTGCTTAGGGCTAAATTGTTGAAGCTGACTCTGAACTTTCGATCCTCCTGCCTCAGCCTCCTGAAGCACTGAGATTACATGCATGTGCCATCATGCCTGGCTCAAATTATTTTAAAAACTTAAACAGAAATTATAGATTTAAACTCAGCTTAAAGTAAAATATGGATTTCTATTTCTCAGATCTTTCTCATCAAAACTTTTCATCAATTATAAACTAATTTTAAAATAAGACTTCATCTTGGGGGTACTTTATTTTTTTTAGTTTTTTTTAGTTGTAGATGGTCATAATACCTTTATTTTGTTTATTTAAATTTTTTTTTAATGTGGTACTAGGGAACAAACCCAGTGGGTATGTTTTAACTTGAGTATTTAAACAAGGTGTTAATTAATGTATTGAGAAGTTAGAATCTCAAAATTTTATGCTCCCAAATCATAAAACGTCCAAAAATATCCAGTTTTTTTCTTTCTGCTTAGACAGAGAGAAATAATTTGTGGGCTTAGATTATCTTCCAGCCTTTATGTAAATAGTTGTTTTTTCTTGTCTCCTATATCAAAACCAAAGCGTAATGTAGGCTCTAATTAAACTTTTAGGACCCAATCATCCATGAATCCTGATAAAAAACATAATTTCATGGAAAATATTAAGACCAAAAGATACAGTTTTGAATTGTAAGAAAAAAAATATATATTTATATATTTTCCCCAAATGTTTATAGTTCAACAGAAGCAGAAGGATCCAAAGAAAGAGGCCTGGTCCATGTCTGGCAGGCGGGATCCTTTTCCATCATACCAGAGAGATTGCCAGGCTGGGGAGGAAAGACTGTTCTTCAAGCAGCCCTTGGAGTGAAACATGGAGTTCTTTTGACTGAAGGTATTGAAAAGAATGGTTTAACAAATACTAACTAAAATGGTAATAAATGCCAGTGTGTGAAGTCATGTCATGAGTTATTGAATGTTAGGGGTTCTCAGTGAACTTTGCTGCTTATAATAGTCAATGTTTATCAAACATTTGTGTGCCAGAATTAACACTAAACATTTTCCACATTTTATCTTTGAATCTTTACCTTATGACGTGGTTGCTATTGTTATTTACAGATAAAATGAAGGTCATAATAAATAAACTGAATGTCAGGGAAGTTAAATAATTTCCCTTAGCATACATAGCTATTTAAAGTGTCAGAATCAGGATGGGAACTCAGTCTGATTTCAAAGCCTACTTTTTTTGTTTGTTTTGGTACTGGGGATTAAACCCAGGGGGGGCATATAACCACTGAGCCACACCCCCAGCCCTTTATATTTTTTATTTTTTGAGACAGGGTCTTGCCTAGTTTCTTAGGGTCTTGCCAAGTTGCTTAGAGCCTTGATAAGTTGCTGAGGCTGGCTTTGAACTTGTGATCCTACTACCTCAGCCTCCAGAGCCAGTGGGATTACAGGTGTGCACCACTGTCTGGCCCCTCAAAGCCTAGTTTTTAAGTCACTGGACTGTATTGTATCAGTACAGTTTTTCTCAGGCATAAGTAGCAGCTCATAAGAGCACATAAAAACTTGTGCATCTAAAATAGAAATGTGCTAATGTAGAGTTGCCTTTAGTCCCCTGCCTCCAATGAGAATTGAACTCAGGGGTTTTCTACCACTAAGCTACATTCTCCAGACCTTTTTATTTTTCATTTTGAGACAGGATCTTGCTAAGTTGCTAAAACTGGCCTTGAATTTCTGATCCTCCTGCCTCAGTCTCCCAAGTTGCTGGGATTATAGGTGTGAGCTTTGAGAGTTGCCTTTAATCTTGATGTCAGTTTATCAAATCAATCGTGGCAAATTTGATTTGGGCCAGGATTGCCACTGATTTCACTAATTCATACATTTTGCTGTATAAACATTTATTAAATATTAAATGCTRTTTTGGTATTTTCCTTCTAGGAACTAAGGGAAGATAAACTCTAGGAAATAAAGCTTAAATCTGATTTTGGAGTTCTCAAGCTCATAAAAGTAGAATACTGTTGTTTTGAATGAAAAGTTGGAATATGTTCATTAAGATATTTGGAAATCTTCAGTAAAAGCTGGGACAATTGAGGGATAACTTGAAATATATATAAATGTCCTATTATTGTTCGTGTTTAAAGCAGTATCCTCAAAGATGCCTACGCTCCAGAAAAAACAAAGTAAAAAAACCTCATTTCACACAATGTGAGCATATTTTAGCACAAAGATCTCTAATGTTATCCTTTTCAGGTGAGAAAATGAATGGTTCTGATTGAATGCTAAACTGATTCAAGATTCTTTGTCTCTATTAAATTTGACTGTTAGCTCATAATTCATTGATGCTCCGTTATTATGTATTTCAGGGTAAAAATAAAGTGGTGGGGAAGTTACATATCCATTTATTTGCAATGTTGCTCTTGCTAGTGGAATAATGTTACTTGAAAGAGTGAGTGACTATTGTTTTATTCCTTGGGAGAAAAGTTTAGAAAGTCTTAATCAGTGAGCTTACTTTCCCATTCTTCTTCTTCTTTTTTTTTTAATACTCTTTTTAGTTATAGATGGACACAATKACTTTTTTTATTTTTTATTTTTTTGTGGTGCTGGGGATTGAACCCAGGGCCTTGCACACGTTAGGCAAGCACTCTACCACCTGAGCTATATCCCTAGCCCTGCACAATGACTTTATTTTTTATTTATTTATTTTTATGTGGTACTGAGGATTGAATCTAGTGCCTCACATGTGCTAGACAAGTGCTCTACCACTGAGCCACAACCCCAGTCCCCCATTTATTCTTTATCCAAGCATAAATTTCTTAATAAAAGTTCCTATATTCCCTCTAGCTACTATTGTGTTTTTCCCTATATAACTATTGTGATGAGTTGGTGTGTGTAGCTATATGTGCCACATACAACAGGACAGAGATAAAGTTTACATTTTTTCAATTATCAACTTAATTGCTGCCTYGAGGGGAAAACAGTACTTATTTCTTCATTAATCAAAAAATATGGATAAGTTTCTGTTCATATAGAAAAGAAGGAATAGTAAATTTGATTCAATATTTTTTAAAACTTACGGTCAAGTCTATGTTACGCTTGAATTTTTAGCCAGCCATATGTACATGCTCCCAAACTCCTACAATATAGCAATAAAATTAAGACTTATAGCTACCTGGATACATAGAAGTTAAAATTTTGTGTATATCTCACTGCCTTTCATTTTAGTTCTAAAGTTAGTCATTTGTTAGTTTCGCTTGCTTTCTGCTATATTTATTTTGTTGTGACGATTTGCTTTTTAAATAAATCTTAGAAAGGCTCTCTAGTATCTAGTATACTATATATATATATATATATAACATCTAGAAATTATATATGATGTGACTTACATGTCTTGTTGATACTGGTACTTTCTGTATAACCTAGAGGCATAAAGCCACTTTCCTAGTCTGGATCCAAATGAATCTTTATTTTTATGCCATTGTATGATTTTCTGTTGTTCCAACTTCTAGACATTAGCAAATGTGTCTATTTTATTATCTTCTGCTTACTTTATCCTATGGTTACTTTTTTCTGAGTATTTGGTATCTGCTTCTCCAGTAGACTGTTACACTAGCTAGAGTTTAGTAGTAGATTCATGCTGGGAGTTTTAGGATGGGGCTGAAGGAAAGAGTAATAATATCCTTTGACTAAAAGTAWCCTGCTGCGGTTTGTAAATTCTCATTATAGTATAGAATGTTTATTTGTTAAAAGTTATGTTATTTGTTGGGGCTGGGATTGTGGCTCAGAGGAAGAGTGCTTGCCTCACATGCGTGAGGCACTGGGTTCCATCCTCAGCACCACATAAAAAATAAAATAAAGATATTGTATCCACCTATGACTAAAAAAAATAAATATTAAAAAAAGTTGTTATTTATTAAAAGACAAATAAGTGTGAAATACTGTGTGTTTGAATCAAATTGCTACAACTGTCCTTTGGAAAGAATTTTTAAAAATTCTGTTTTGTTAAATCTGGGGGCGTAGTGCTAGAAGTTTGCTGATAAAATTTTTTGTTAATTCACTAACCTTCTCTTTTTCTTTTTTTTAAACCTTCAGATGGTGAGGTCTACAGCTTTGGGACTCTTCCTTGGAGAAGCGAATCAGCAGAAATTTGTCCAGATAGTCCCATTCTAGAAAATGCCCTGGTTGGGCAACATGTTGTTACTGTGGCAACAGGGAGCTTCCACAGCGGAGCAGTGACAGAAAGTGGCGTAGTGTACATGTGGGGGGAGAATTCTGCGGGTCAGTGTGCAGTAGCTAACCAGCAGTATGTGCCAGAACCGAATCCTGTCAGCATTTCTGATTCTGAAACCAGCCCTTTGTTGGCAGTCAGGATTTTGCAGTTGGCATGTGGCGAGGAGCACACTCTGGCATTGTCAATAAGCAGAGAGATTTGGGCATGGGGTACCGGTTGTCAGTTGGGTCTCATCACCACTACCTTCCCAGTGACAAAGCCACAAAAGGTGGAACATCTTGCTGGGCGCGTAGTGCTACAAGTCGCCTGTGGTGCTTTCCACAGCCTGGCACTTGTGCAGTGCCTGCCTTCCCAGGACCTGAAGCCAGTCCCTGAGAGATGCACCCAGTGCAGCCAGCTCCTCATTACCATGACTGACAAAGAGGACCATGTGATTATCTCAGACAGTCACTGTTGCCCTTTAGGTGTGACACTATCAGAATCCCAGGCAGAAAACCACGCCAGCTCTGCCATCAGCCCCTCTGCTGAGACCCTTGACAGTCAGGGAGGAGTGTTTGAGAACACRCTTGTAGAAGCTGGACTGCCGCTTGCCACCGAATTGAACATTGAAAGCACCCCTACCACAAGTGGTGATACTACTTCCTCCCAACAAAACATCCAGGGAACAACTGAAATTTCTTCTGTCAGAAACATACCATCGTACCCTGACACCCAGGCAGTAAATGAATACTTGCAGAAACTGTCAGATCATTCAGTAAGGGAGGATTCAAAGAATGGTGAAAAGTCAATGCCACCTCAGGTACTTGCTAAATTTCATAGCCTAAGGGTATTATTGGAGTTGAACTATATGTACTTTGCTTTAGAAACTTGGAAATGCTAAGATTTTGTGGTGTGTTTTAGTTTGTAAGTTTGACTATTTTTCTGTTTTATTAGGTGAGCCTAGAGAAAAGAACCTATATTAATTAAAAATCACTGTGTTCATATTTTGATTCTTTATCATGTTGAAAAATGTCTTGCTGTGCATATTTTGGAATTAGCACCCTCCTTTTTTTTTTTTCCTCCTCATTAGTGACCCCCCAGCATGGCTAAGGTACTGAATTTTGGTGGATCCCTGAATAGTCTAATATAATCACATATGCACAGAATGTTCTGAGTTCTGTTTTGGAAAGTCCTTTACTTCCTAACAGGGAAGGTTGCAGGGTGGCAGATCCTTCAGTTATAGGCAGAAAGACACTGAAAGGCATTCTGTTGCGTTTTTATCAGTTATAGCTGTGGTCCTTACTGAACTTTATTTGGTTGGGAGGTAATGTTTTCTTATCTTGTTAAAACCATTCTCATTTTGAATACTTGTGGCAAGATGAACAAAAGCTTTTACCTGTACCTTGCAATAAAGTTTGAGTCTCCCTGCTTAAAACTAATTTTTCTAAAAGGATAATTTCTGCTTTTTACTTAGGTGTAGCCTTTTGATTTTGCTTTTACCAAAACCCTAAAATTAAGAAACTAAAATTAAAAAAACATCTAGTCATAGAAGATCTGCCATGTGGTATTTTTTTCATGCTTTAAAAACCATATAGTCTCTTGATTCTTTATTGCTATTGTTACTCTGTCAGAATGAGAGCATGGAGGTATTTTTAGAAATAATCTTTATTTCACAATCCATTCATGAAACCATGTTGATATTTCATTTGTAAAAAGTTAATAATAACYGGGTTTTTTCAACTTTTATTTGGCACTTTTAAAATTCTTTTTAGTTAGACAGGACAATAGAATCTATTTTGATATATTTATACAAACATGGAATATATCTTATTCTAATTAGGATCCCAGTCTTGTGGATGTATAGGTAAGATTCACTCTGGTATATTCATACATGTACATAGGAAAGTTATATGTCAGATTCATTCTACTGTCTTTCCTATTCCTATCCCCCTTCCTTTCCCTACATTCCCCTTTGTCCAATCTGCTAAGCTTCTATTCCCTCCAACCCTTGTTGTGGGTTAGCATCCACATATTAAAGAGAACATTCAACCTTTGGTTTTATGGGGATTGGCTTATTTCACTTAGCTGAGAGTCTCCAGATTCATTCATTTACTGGTGTATATCATAAAGTCATTCTTCTTTATGGCTGAGAAATATTTCATTGTGTATATATGCCACAGTTTCTTCATCCATTCAT